ACCTCTTCTGCCATTCGACTGTCTCTAGGTCGCGGTAGCGTTCTCCGCACGCGATGTCCCTCTGCAGCTCTTTCGCCTTTAGGTGCATCCGCAGCGTGTCTAGGAGCCAGGTCATGACATTCGCGTCCATGGCTCGTCCCAAGGCGGCTCGGCGTTGCTCTTCTGTCACCTCCGGATGTGCTGTGGCTCCCCACAGGTGCCCCATCGCTGCCTCCCGTTCATTCGCCGTCGGTTGTTCCCAAACTCCCTTCCGCACGTCGTAGATCATCCCCCGGCCCGGCAAGTCTCCCTCCATAATGAATCCGCGGGCTTCAGCGTAGGACACCAAGGTAGGCAACGCTTGCCGCGGTTTGCCCGGCTCATTACACTGGTACTGTGACGGATGATCCGCGCTCGTCACAGGCGCGGACAGGCGGTTGGGCTCCAGAATGTCACTCACTAAGCGTGGTTCTGGCCGCTGCATCAGCGCCAGAGAGTGCCGCAACGCTGAGGTAGACATCACATTCTGCCAGTAACGTCTCGGCCGATGTGCTCGCGACCCCAGCTGCGCCGCGTCGGCTGGTACTCCTCGTCCCACGACCCCCGCGATCTCCTCGAATGCTCTCTTCACCGGCTCTCGCTTATCTTCTGCCAGGTCTACATTCTCCAGAATGTAGGCGACCTCTCCTTGACGCCGCTGCATCATCTCTAACACTCGCTGTAAGTCCCTGAACGATGCTCCCCGCACGTCTTCCATCCCCATGCCCTCCCCGGCTCTGGAGTACCCTTGACATTCCCACCCTGCAATGACCAAGTCTATCTGCCCCCAGCTCTCCAGTACGCGCTCGGAGATATCTCGGACGTCGTGCACCGCTGGTTCAGACTCGTATGGAAGCGCGTCCTCCCACATTTGATCCGGGTATTCGTCCCGCAGCAGCTCGGCATGGTGGCGCGCCATCTTCCGCACGACTGGATCCCGCTCGACATGGATCCACTTCTTAATGGTATATCCAGCTCGTAACGCCGCTGCCAGGCCGGTCCCTATTCCCCCGTACAACTCCAAAACGCATATAGGCACATCTAAGGCCTGCACCCGGCTGATCCGCTCCGTCAAATCCGGCGGGCTCTGTCCCAAGGTCCGCCTCTCGATCCGCCTTTCGTATTCCGCTTCATATCTCTCCCACGTCCAGTCTTCCAGCTCCTCCGTCAGATCCTTCCGTTGGGCCTGGTACGCTTCTCGTGGCTCCTGCCGCACAAACCGCACTTGCAGCGTGCCTACGGGGCTCTCTGGGTCCCAGTATTGCGCGCGGAAGAGCACCTTCTCCTGCCAAGTACAGATGGTAGCTCCTACTCTATAGAGGAGCTCCATCCCCACGAGGACGTCGTAGTCCTCGGACTCCGAGACGCCGCACTGCAGCCGGATGTAGCACTCCTTCTCCGTCCCTGGTAAGAGCACTACTTCCACCGGTCTCCTGGTTTTCGGCATCCATTTCGGCTCTCCTCCTTCAGCCGTCATGAGTAGGATTCCCCGCTCCATGGTACGCCCGGATACGTCCAGCTTCAGTTGTTTAGCGAGTCCCTTGCCTATGAGCACGTGATGAGCTCCAGTGTCTATGATAGCTTGCTTCACTGGCAGGCCTCCCACGGTAAGACTCCCCTTTTCGGCAATAAGCACGGACGCTTGACAAACCAGCCGCTCGTTCGGATGCCGCCTCATCTCCGAGGGTCGTGCTCCTTCCGCTTGACTGCCCCGGGACCGGGTTCCACTCGTCACTTCGCTGCTCTGAGACGGGCTGGCCCGTGGTCGGAGACGGATATCGTCTCGTGCCCGAGGATACGCCATGGCCGCGTACTCTCTCGTATATTCCTCCTCGTCCTCTTCCTCATCGTCGTCCACTTCTTCGTACGCCAACATCGCTCGCGCCTTAACCTCCTTCTGATTAGGTAACTGCTCCAACCGCAGCTGCAGCCGCCTGACCTCCGCTTGGAGCTCCTCTCGCGTTGCCCCCAGCACGTCCTTCGGTCGGCTGTAACAGTCCTCTCTCCGGTGTCCGCGTTTCCCACATTGCTCGCATGTCGGCGCCTTGGGGCAGTCACGCCTCAAGTGCCCGTGCTCTCCGCAGGTGTGACACAGCCGAGGGTAGGGATGAGCATGGAAACGAACACGTTCGAGGCGAACTGAACAGGATTTTTTTTTGGCTAAAAATGTTCGGGGCGAACATGTTCGGTGTTCGCCCGAACACGTTCGGTGTTCGCCCGAACACGTTCGGTGTTCGCCCCACTACTGCTGCCGAGCCGCGTCGAACACGAACGCGTTCGTGTTCGTTTCGGGCAAAAAACGAACACGGATGTATTCGTCGCGACTGCCCCGCGATCTACAATTTACGTTGCGGGACATTCTGTTTGAGCTCAAATCTGAGCTCAAACTTAGTCGCGCTATTCAGCAGCAGCCATTACTACCACGCCCCCCACACATCACGCCGTTATCACCTCGTTAGGACTTAGCGTAAGTAAGTCGTTACGTTAGGTTAGTCTGTCTAGACTTGGGTATGCGAGATTTAGGTTTTCGGGAAAGGATTAGACAGGATACCACAGAATCTCGTAAGTTGAGGGTTGGGGGTAAGCATTCGCAAATTTCGTATGCATGGGATTGAGAGGAATAGCGTTCGCAAATTTCGTGAGTTGGGGGATTGTGGGGGGTTGGCGAGCAATCACAAATTTCGTAGATATAGAGGGGGGGGGGAGCATTTCGCCTTACGTGGGGGGAAATCCAGGTGGCGAGCTGGATAAAAAAAATGCTGATCCAGCCTAGATATTTTCCCCCCATTTCCGGCAATGCCCGCCGTTGCGTATATCGAGCGTAACAAAGGAAGCCCAGGGCGAACACGAACGTGTTCGCCCTGAACACGTTCGTGTTCGCCTTAGCATGCCAGATGTTCGCCCTCACAGGCGAACATCGAACACCCTTTTTTGTAAAAGGTGCTCGGCGAACCAAACACTGTTCGGTTCGCCGAACGGCAGTGTTCGAGCTGGGGCGAACGCGAACACGTTCGTGTTCGCCCCTTGCTCATCCCTAGCCGAGGGTCTACTCTGCTACTGCCCCCAGATGCCGAGTCGGGTACTGCCGCCGCTGCCCAGCTCGTTTTCGCTCGGCTCCTTCCTTCTGGGTCTTCAAGATCCAGCAGTCGTTGCGCTTGTTCCGTCTTTTTCGTCAGCATGTAGACTTCCTTCAGCTTGATATCGGCGCCGATGCTGTATACGGTGCTCCGCACCACTCCCCTCAGTTCTTCGTCCAGCCCTCGTACGAACTTCCTCACCAACAGGCGTTCGTCCGTGCTTTCGAGGTCTTCGGCTAGTTCACGGAGTCTGCAGTAATAAGCCAGCAGCGATTCTTCCTTCTTACGGCGGAAGTCCCGGAACTCCTCTACGCGCGCTTTGGTCTGCCCTGCGAACTCCTTCCGCAACAGCTGCAAGAAGCGGGCCGTCGGATTGACTATCTCTCCTTCCGCCAGCTCTTCTAAAACGTCGTCTCGAGTCAGGCGGTAGAACGTCTCAGCCTCGCCCGCCAACGTCCCCGCCATCTTCCGGAAGAACTCGGCCGGGTCATATCCGTCCCGCTCCCAACAGTATTGTACGGTCTCGAGCTGCATCAGGTAATTCTTCAGGCTGGGCCCCACGCCCGGGATGCCCGTATATCGCTCCGCCACCTCCACCTTGGGCAAGTTGGTCGCCTTCCATCGGGCTCCACCGGTGCTGAGTTCTTCCGGAGCATCACTTGGAACACCCGCCGCGCCACTATGTACCAGAGCTCTCCCTTGCGTCGGTCCCTGTACGGGGCTTTCCGTCGGCCTCCAGCGAGTGTCAGACCGATCCTTCCTCGGACGCATCCCTGGCATTCCGGTCGGCGGGGCCTCTGCTTCTTGGCTCTTCCAGCGTTCACGGATTTTCTCGGTCCAGCGAGCGTCAAGCGGAGTCTCTCCAGGATCTGAGACGACGGTCCGCTCTCTTTCCATGCTATCTCCCACCACGCGAGCTCGTTGGTGGGGAGTTCGGTACTTCGGTGAATCAGTTTCGCCGCGTGCCGCTCCCGTGTCTCCCTGCGCGGCTATCTCTTCCGCTGTAGGCTTCAACTCTTCTGCGTCGGTCCACAGTCGCGTCCTTAGGAACTCTCGACGCCGCATCGGAAATTCTTGCGTGATTGTTAAAATGTCCCGTACCACAGCCTGTATCTAGCTACACAAACCCTAGCTCAGCAGGTTGGATAAAGGACGGATGGATCTGAAGTGCTTGCGGCGTTGGTTTCTCGTGCTTAGTTCAAACGTGTAGAATGGAATTGTAAGCATAGGTGTGAAAACAATCACGCAAGCAATCCTTCCTAAGCTTGCCTAACCCTTAAGTATCAACGGCGGGTTACCGTTGTGCCAACGGTTCTCGTTTAGCCCGCCAACTCAGGCTTTTCGATTGTCTCGCTTCGCCTGCAGCCGCTTCTAGCCTCATCCTCCTTACTGTAGTGTTTCTTTATATCCTACTAGTCACGATGATATATCTACTGTTCTACGCACAGATTAGAATCGTGACAGCTCACAGATACTGAAGTTTGGAGAGCTAGGTGACCCAGTTGGGAAACTCCACGGCTCTAAGGAAGGCTAGGTCCCTGCAGGGAGGAAAGCAAGAGCAGCATGTCACATAGACAAGACAAGCCAATAAAGCTGCAACCGTGTACAACGAGGGGATGGACAAGAACAAGCTTGTTTCATTTGTCCCACTCCACATTTGCACTTTATGAAGCTTACAGTCCAGTGAGGGTAGTCATGTATTGAATCTCTCAGGGGATCTCCCCTGTGGCGTTGGTGAGCGCACTGAGTTCCCTGCATTCATGCACACGTAGTCAGCATGAGTGAGTGAGCGCACTACGATTGCCATTTGCGAGCTGGTATAGACCACCTCGCATGGTGATATGCAGATTAAGAATAAGAACAGGCGGCGACCATAATACGTTCTCACACTGCAATGATGCTTACAGCTGCTGAAGCTTCTTCAGGTGAGAAAGAATATGGAGGGGGGAGAAGTCCCCACTGAATGCCTGGAAGTGCTGTAGACTCCTGGATGATGAGAGGGCAGTGATGCATGGGGTTAGCCATGAAGGGTGTAGGATAAGAGCATAGGGGCTGGGATGCTGGAGCGATGTAGCATGCAGCATGGCTGGATGGCAGAGTGGAAAGCGGAGTAACAGTGAAATTGACTGCATGCAGGACTAACATTAGGGTTGAGCAAAGAAACGAACACCTGTTGCGAACCGAACAGTCTTTTTCTTTTTTAGTTTAAAGTGTTCGTGACAAACGTGTTCGAGGTTCGTGTTCGGGCCGCTGCTGCAATTTGCCCCGTGTCGAACACGAACGTGTTCGAGGTTCGCCCGAGGACGCCTTCACAGGCGAAAACACCGAACATCTGTTTTTGCTAAAAGTGTTCGCCGAACCGCCGAACAGTGTTCGTGCAGGGGCGAACACGAATCACGTTTGTGTTCGCCCCTTGCTCATCCCTAACTAACATGGCTTTTACGCTGAACAGGGCTTGCAATGTGTACAGTTTCTGCACGATGTACAATATTTGAAAGGCGTACGGTGTTTGCAAGGGGTTCAGTGTTTGCAGGGTTTACAGTGTTTGCAGGGTTTACAGTGTTTGCAGGGCTTACAGTGTTTGCAGGTTGGTGAGGGAGGAGAGCCGGGCCAGTCCGTCCACAGTGCCAGTCAACCTGCTGCCGTCAAGCGGCCCAATAGCTCTGAGTGCACACGGCATGCAAGCAGCAACAGAACGCATGCCAGGTGCACACGTACCACGCAAACACATGCCACAGGCCCACATATGAGGGGCGTTGGAGAAAACAGGAATTTTTTCAAATTGAAATTAGCGCCGAGAGTAAACGAACGACGTGAGAAAACGGACAGTAATGGAATGACGACGCACGAGGTGAAGTCAAGGAAAGGAAGGACCAACTAGGTGAATGCGCATGATATTGGTTAGGCCAAGTGCTAATGAGCAATGGAAGAGCAGCACGAACAAGTGGGTGAGGCCGGTGAGACTGGCGAGGGATGGAATGGGCCCCACCAGATCAAAGTTAGTGAGATCACTATCATGGGAGTGCAGGGAACAGCAGTGAAGAAAGCAACAGAAAAATAAAAAGGAGTCTTGAGAGGTCTTCAAAGCTATGGCTTCATCATAACCTTTACAGCTTGTGGTCTAGTGCACAAGGGAGGCATGCAAGGCAGGAAGAGGAGGGTATGGTCAGATGCTAAGTTGGAGATTTCGTATTGAGTTTATACGCATCTAAAATTCGTACGCTGCGGATTTTCCTAAAATTCGCCAAATTTCTCTCGGGCTGACCGGAAAAAATATCAGTTAGAGTTCGCGATCTGGCGAGCTCAAATTTGAGTCTCGAAATTCAGACCTGCAAATGCGACTTCAGATCTGAATTTCGAGATTGTTTGGTGGATCATCCCCTCCTATCCACCGCTCAACAACCCACTCCACCCCATCCAATTTGTTGCCAACTTCTAGGGATGAGCAAAAAAACGAACACCACGTTCGAGGCGAACCGAACAGGTATTATTTTTTGGCTTAAAGTGTTCGCCGAACAGTGTTCGATGTTCGCCCGAACACGTTCGTGTTCGGGCCGCTGCTGCAATTTGCCCCGCGACGAACACGAACGTGTTCGAGGTTCGCCCGAACACGCCTTCACAGGCGAACGGCGAACACCTTTTTTTTGCTCAAAGTGTTCGCCGAACCGAACAGTGTTCGGTTCGGCAAACGGCGGTGTTCGTGTAGGGGCGAACACGAACACGTTCGTGTTCGCCCCTTGCTCATCCCTACCAACTTCTACCAGACTCATCCTCCCCTCCCCAGTCAATGTCAGGCCGCTTTTCCCGTCGATAATATCTCCGTTTGATTTCTTCCTCCTCTTCTTATTTCACCTGCGACGATGACCTACAAAAGCAGCAATTAGGTAGTGGACTACTACAGCAGCTCCCGTTTCCATCTCTTTGCCTAGCATCTAACCTGCCCGGGGGAAATGTTTTTCCTGCCCGGGCAAGTGGATTCTTGTGCGTACCAGCAAGGTTCAAAAATACGGTAAATGTAAATTACGGCTCGTAAATTACGGTCGTAAATTACGGTGGATTTGGCAAAAATACGGTCGTTTTTTCGAAGGACTTTTTTTGCGGCATTTGTTTTTTCCCAGAAACTTCAAGAATGCTTACAACGATGAATATGAAGGCGACAACAAACTACAATACAGAGAAACAAGCCTATAATAGACCACTACACCATTACCATTGCTAAGCTTACTTAGTAGTACCTAACTTTAGGCTAAATCTGCTCCTACTCCCTCCCTCCCCACACTACGCGGGAAAAAAACACACTCGCGTGGATTTGGGCGCACGAAATTTCTCACAAGCAGGGTGACGGTTGGGAAATGTCGAAGTTCGCTAGACACAAACTCGGTTTCAAAAATTCGGTCGTAATTTACGATAAAATTTCAAAAATACGGTCGTATTTCTGAACCTTGCGTACCAGACCCCTCCCGGCCAGCGTTTTGCGTTTAGACGCTAGCGTTACGAAAGCGTACTAAACGCGAAACACGTTTTTTCCAACTTAGGTCAGATGTAATGAGTGGAATGGTATAGAGAGTTGTAACATGTCGGAAGTGGGAGCGAGATGGAAGGACAGAACATAACGAGGTTGGGGCGAGGGCATGGGAAACGAAAGAAAGGCATAGTGCATGCAAGGTGGATGTAGTGGAGGGAGAGGAAAAATGGTTGGTGACGCACAGGTAATGCAGAGTAGCAAGACTGGTGATGGAAGCAGGTATGGAGGCACTCTGGGAAGAATCCTTAACGAGTTGGCTTGCATCCCTGCCAGCACACGCATGCATGCACACAATACCAGCTCCCACTCCGCCCCCATCTCCCACCCCAGTCCTCTCCAATCCCACCACCACCCACAACCTCCACTTTCAACCCATCCCCCTCCCCGTCCGGATTTCGATGCTCCCACATGCACACAAAATCCAGCCCATGTAGAATCAAGCACAGTGGGGCAGAGTACGGAGGAGCAGAAGCAGCCAGCGGAAGAATGATATACAGTGGGGTCAAGAGCACAGAGGGCGACTGAGGGGTAATGAGGACGATAGCGCCCGGCGCCCTAGACTAGGCTGGGCCGAAACGGGAGCTATTGCAGTTGTGTGTAAGCCCACAGATGGCCAGTCCAGCCGTGGTGCCAACATCCTCGTTAAATGGATCAGGGAGTTGGTTTTGCAGGGACCTTACCACATTCAAGTACTCGTTACACCTTGGTGGGGCAGAAAAAGTGGTCAGCAGGATTCGAAACCAAGGGTCTAGATAACAGTACAACGCCCTGTGCCCTAAACCGCCTAAAGGGGGGGTTCTTCAAAATGGTGCGGTTAGATGCAATCAGAGCAACGAGGGGAAGTTAGGGCAACGAGGGATAAGGGAAAACACAGAACCGAGCAAAAAATAGATTAACGGGGAAAAAAGGCAGCGAGCGTCGGCAATGAGACTCACAGGGAAACAACTAGCCTTTTGGGGCTGCATGTGACGCCAGCCCATGCAGAGCACGCAGTGGTGGCGTTGCTGTTGCCCGCCCAAATGCCCCACGCCTGCTTCAGCTGCAGCAGCACCTTCACTGCCGACAACGCGGAAATGTGGGCAGTTTCACGGAAAAAGGGAAAGCGCCTTCACTGTCCGCACATGCCGCGCAGCGGTGAGGCGCCTGTGAAGCGGCTGCTTGAGCGCGCGAAATTCTGTCTGCGCAATGAAGCTCCCAGTGCCGAGTGGGAGCATGAAATGTTACAGAGAGCGTCAACTGGGACAAACCGGACTCACATTGCGAGTTTTCCAAAACGACGGGCCTTGCAGCGCTCCCGCCAGTCGCTGTGAAGCTGCGGGCCGCGTCGGCGCCGGAGCTGGTAGCGGCGACCTTCAGGAGCGAGCGTCGGGCGCGGCTGGGTCGAGCGCAAGACAGCAGGCGCTGTTTGTACGGACGCGGGGCATCTCGGAGCGGCAGGCGATCAGCGGCGCTGGAAACGGAGCACGCGGCGCCGGCGGCTGTGAGCGCGAGGGAGAGGAGAATGCAAGCCGTGGCGACATTTGCGGAGCCGCGTGGCCACGCGGCTGGCCGGGGAAAACGAATGTTAGGCGTGGTAGTGCGCATGATTCGGGCTCGTACTTCGTGACATGTGCCGTGTGTGAAGGAGTCTGGGAGACGGTAAGGCCTGTAATTGCCAAAGCAGGGAGGGGTGCGACAACTAGTAGCGCGAATAAGAGCCGCCGGCATTTGGAAGTTCCTAGCACTCTGACCTGAGAGGAGCAGCAGTTGCTAATTCGGTGTCAAGCCACGAAATTATTAGTCTAGAGAATGTAAACTGTGTTTGTCATCACGCCTTAGGTAAGGAAAATATATTTTCCTTATCAGGGTTTACTCCTTCGCGTACAACCCAACTTTCGGACATGCCCAATCAGCCGACATCATCTATCTCGACGCTACCTCGCGTCGCCTTCGGCTTTTCCCTTGCCCGACTTGCACCCAACCTCGTGTTCTCGAGCAGGCCTCATGATAGGATTTGATCCAGCCCTTTGCATAAAAGTTGTTACGAATAGTAATTATTGAAGCATCACTCTGCACTCCTTACCGCAGCAATCGAAGCACGCACTACCGAGAATGAAGACGAAAGGACGGAAGTGACGCGAAGGGTCGTACGGTTACGAATGTCGAAGAGAAAGGCCCCGCCCTCGCTTGGGCGCAGCCGATCTCGCCGTCGACGAGAAGTTCTCGACGTATTGGTCGAAGAAGTGGGCTTCTGCATTTCGACGGAAGTTGCGGTCGAGCAGGCTCTGCTCGACAGAATCTGGTCGACGAGCTCTGCGTGACGAGCTCTGGTCGACGATCTCTGCGCGACGAGCTCCTGTCGAAGAGCGCTGGTCGACGATCCTGGTAGAGGAACTCTGGTCGAAGAGTTCGGGTCGAGAAACTCTGGTCGAAGAGTTCGGGTCGAGAAACTCTGGTCGAAGAGTTCGGGTCGAAGAACTCTGCTCGGCGAACTTCGTTCGACCGAGCGATGGCAAGTCCTTCGACCGAAGTTGCAGAGTTGTGCGAAACTCTGCGGAGGCGTGCGAACTTTCGCCCAGGAGATTTTGGCGAAGTTTTACCTGCGGAACGGCAGAACGTGCTCGACGGTGCGCACCTGGCGAAACCGACGACACGTTTTCTACCTGGCACCTGCGCAATGTGCCTGACGGTGAAACCGCCAACCTGCACCTACTTGGTAGGTGCGCACATTTGCGCAAATAGACAACCTGCGACTGCAGATAGTCACCTGCGACTGCAGTGTTGGCAGACCGCGCGCAGTGCAACGTTGGCAGCCAACTCTGCTGCAACGTTGGCAAGCCGCTCTTCTGCTGCGCTGGCAGAATTCGTCAATGCTAGGTGTTGAATGCCATTCTAGTCTTTTCATTCTGCATGCCTCAATTGTACTATCAACTTTTCATTGCAAGTTGTTCTTTTCACTTTCCTTAGTGGAAACTCTTGCCAAACTTCTCTGTGAACACAGCAAGCAGTCAGAACGCTACTAGAGCGCTACGATCACCCGCACAACTCCGTGCCCTCCACCGTAGTCCACTCCCGTTGTGAAGTGACTCTCCGCATGGTGCGGTGAGCGTGGACGGCCCCGCTTTAGAACCTTCAGATAGCCGAATTCTACGTTCATTACCTAAGTTGTTGTTAGGCCGGCAGCCGTCTTAGTCGCCATGGTCGACCCCGTGGTCGAAGCAGACCCTGCAGGCGAGAGAGGCTGGTGTACGGGCACGCCACGAGGCTGGCGGGTACGGCGAGGCGGACTTGGAGATTCTGCTCCTTGGAACTTGTGCGCAGTGGGCGCGTGAGCATCCCCCTCCCCGTGCAGAAGTGGACGGCGCGTCCGCCTCTCCCCGACCCGTGCACAACGAAGGTGACGGCGGAAATGTTGTCGGCGGTGGAAGCACGAGGACTCGCTTAGTGATTTGGCCCGCCGACATCGGCGGTGACGGAGTGCAAGCGCAAGTGCTGCGATCGTCTGCGACTGGAGGCAGCTCGAACAGCAACATCGATGGGCGACGTCACTCTCCACTGCGGAGCGGAGTCCGGCCGACTTCGGCGACTCATGCGTCGGCTGGTCGAGACGGAGGCATCGCGCCGGCATACGTATATTTCAAATTTTCGCCGGACAAGATCGCTGTGCCGAAGCTGCTGGAGGGTCGCCACGACTTGATCACGTGGAGTGAATCCATTGAGCCCCAGCTGGAGATCGCTGGATTGAAGAAGTTCGTCGACGGAACTGTTCTGGCGCTCTTGTCGGAATTTCGCGCTGCTCATCTTCTGACATTTATGGTCATTTCGAGGTGTTGCTCGCCTCTAGTGCAGGTCGCATTGAAGTCGTGCAGACTTCGGGTGGATGCTGGCTACCAAGCGTGGCAGTACATTATGCGTACCTACAAAGCGACTGACGACCTCTACATCAGTCAACTGGAGAAGAAGTTTACCAACATTCGGATGGGGGAGCAGGAATCGGCGACCGAGTACTGCAATCGAGCGCGGCGAGTTTTGGTCGATATGCGGATGGCCGGCATCGACTACTCGGTGGCGTCGTATATCACTCATGTCATCAGCGGCCTCCCTTCGGGTTACAATCTGATGCGCCAGATGCTGACGATTCCCGGCACGCGCGAGACTCTGAACGAGGACTCGCTTTCTTGGGCACCTGGAAGATTTGCGGCGGCGCCTTTATTGCAAGATTTGCATAAATTTTGGGCACCTGGAAGATCGATGCAAATACCGATCTCGCCCTCTTCAGACCAATCCGAGCAACTGGTCGGCCGACAAGACGCACGGAATGACACGCGTCCAGCCCAGGGGCATCAACCCCCACTGCGCAATCTGAATCCAACGATTCAGCATCAGCAGCAGCAGCCACCAACTGCGCCCGTCCGCAACGTCATGGGCAACATGACAATGACTAGCGGATCCCGTCGTCCCCGTGCATGCTCACCGTCACCTGAGCCAGCACGTCACCCAATCGGAGCGTTCTCGAATAAACAATCCGTTCAGCACGCGCCACGACTTCACCAACGACGACGACCAGGACTGGAATCTCCCATTCCCGCTGCTTGAGACCCCCCCGCACGTACCTGATACGCGGCCGGCACCGATCGAATGGATCGCGCGCGAACAGTTTCTAAAAGTTGACACACCGCACATCGTTACTCCGCGACTGGCACTGCTCGCACGTAACGACAACAGGCGCTACAACACGTGGTACCTGGATAGCTGCTGTGGGCACCATATGGTGGGCTCCGAGCGTTACATATCCAACGCCGTTGCCACCCCTGCCGTCACCTACGTCACCGTGGCGAACAACACGCGCCTGCGCACAAGCGCGCAAGGCATCGTTGTGCTCAAGGCCAGAGGGAGCAGGACGCACATCACGCTGAACGACGTGCTGATTATGCAGAATCTACGCTTCAATCTCCTCTCGGCGGCGCAACTCATGGACTGCGGGGTCGACCTCAGCATCGACCCCGAGACACGTGACATTTTACTCCACTTCACGATGCCGAACAAGACGCGCAAGCAGATCGGGCGAGCGCACTCCGAAAACGGAGTTTACATCCTCGACTTCAGTATTCCCGACTGCAGCGGTGACTCGCAGGAGGTCATCGATCTCGTTCCCCTGCGCTTCGAACACATTCACCACCGTGACTGGAAGCACCCTGACGGAAGACCGTGGGTGCCTCATCACGCTCACCCGCGCGAAACGGCGCTACATGACCCAGACCCCGACGGCAATTGCAGAGATTGCCAC